TATTTTTTTATATATATATGCCTAGGCCTATGTAATATATATTGTATACATTTAATAATTTAATTAGAAATAATTATTTAAACTAATTGTTAAACAAATATAATATAATGTAAACAATAATATAGGGTAAGCTAGACCTAATCAATTATTGATATAATAAAGGCAAATATTTAAAACATCATTAATACAACACCTTCATGACAGTCCAGCCCTCCAAATCTTGTTTTAATAAATAACTGAATTCACTTCAATGATATATTTTGATCTTCATTCATTATTATTATTATCATTTACTTTTTATTATTATTTATTTATTATTATTATTATCTGTATTATTATTATTATTTTTATTATTATTATTATTATTATTATTATTATTATTATTATTATTATTATTATTATTATTGTCTTTGCCATTAACATTATCATTAATTGTTTCTCTGGAAGGCATCTTGTACAGGAATATGTTCCTTTTTGCCTAACCAGTCTCATTACGTTTTGAATGAAATAAAATTATGAATTATGAATTATACCAATGTCATCTATCGATAAAAACATCGATTCGATTAATTAACAGCAGCTTTTCGCACTGTGGCAGTGCCGATAGAAAACAGCAACTTTTTGGCACTGCGGCAGTGCCGATAGAAAACGGCAGCTTTTTGGTACTGCGGCAGTGCCGATAGAAAACAGCAGCTTTTTTTGGCACTGCGGCAGTGCCAATAGCCACTATCCTGTTGATTAATCGAATCGATGTTTTTATCGATAGATGACATTGGTATAATTCATGATTCATAATTTTTTTCACTTAAAACGTAATGAGACTGGTAGGCAAAAAAGGGAACATGTCCCTGTACAAGATGCCTACCACCAGAGAAACAGTAATAATGGCAAAGACATAATAATAATAATAATAATAATAATAATAATAATAATAATAATAATAATAATAATAATAATAATAATAATACAGATAATAATAAGTAAATAATACTAATAATAATAAAGTATAATGATGATAATAATAATTAATGACGTTCAAAATATAGCATTGAAAATAATAATAATAATAATAATAACAATAGGCCTAATAATAATAATAATAATAGGCCTACAGATAATAATAAATAAATAATAATAATAAAGTAATAATAATGATAATAACAATAATGAATGAAGATCAAAATATAGCATTGAAGTGAATTCAGTTATTTATTAAAACAAGATTTGGAGGCCTGGACTGTCATGAAGGTGTTGTATGTATTAATGATGTTCTAAATATTTGGCTTCATTATATCAATAATTGATTAGGTCTAGCATAGCCTATATTATTGTTAACATTATATTATATTTGTTTTACAATTAATAATTATAATTATTTCTAATTAAATTTTAAAATAAACACATTATATATTATCCTAGGCTTATACATAAAACAAAAAATAAACAAACAATAATAATAATAATAATAATTTTACAATAGTTTGATTAATGAGATAATAACAATCAGCATATTAAATAAAATTACGTCCATGCAAAACCTGCTTTTAAATTTAAAAAAATGTTATCTATTTTATTCTGCTTTAAAAAATAATCTTATAAATTATCAGTTTATTTTCTGCGATAATTTTATCCACATAGGCTAATTCATGTTTTCAATGTTAATATGGTTGATCAATAATATATAAAATACTAGTAATAATAATAATAATAAGGTGCTCGAATAATGCTTTGATAAAGAATTATTATACTTCAATAATACTTCGATAGGCCTATTTACGATAGTGTGATTAATGAGATATTTGTTGATTAATTTATAGAAATATAATAGGAATTAACCATTAATAATGATCAGCATATTAAATCAATGTAAAATTTGTGTTTTTTCAATAATGTTACTTATTTTATTCCGTTTCAAAAAAATTATCTTATAAATTATCAGTTTCATTGTAAATTCTATGTAAACCAAATAATTTATGGTTTCAATTTAATATTGAAGCATTTAACAATTCGGTGGGACTAACGCTGGATGTAAATGTAAAACAAAAAACAAAAGCAAATGCTAATATTATGGCAAGTAAGCTTAGCTCAGGAAGGTTCATACGAGGGACAAATATCCGTCGAAATGCCGAGTAAATAAACTGCAATTATGTAAATAAACGAAATTAGGAATATCTTAATTAATATATCTTAATTAATATATTTTAATTAACACCTTAAAAATAGTTAATTACTAAATAATTAATAGATCGATATAAACATTGTGACCTATAACTACAATTTATTAATATATTTCAATTAATAAATTTAAAAAATCCTGCAACGATTTTGTTCAATTCAGTAATTGGCATCAAAAAGTAATTTTTCAATCGCGATATTCGTATTTTTTCCGTTCATTGAAGTAGCGACGATAAACATATATAATAATTAGTTTATAGTCACATTAATAATGCAAATTATAATATATATATTTATATGTATGTATGTATGTATATATATATAT